ACTTTATTATTCTCCTCTCTCTCCCTCTCCTTCTCCCCTTACTCCTCTCTTTTTTCCTTGAGTCATTTGAGAGTAGGTGGAAGACATTACACCCCTTTACCTCTAAATACTTAAGGATGCAGTTTTGGTGAGAAACTATAATACATGTAGCTTTCACTAACACCAGAAAGAGCTTATGAGCAACCAGCTTGGAAGGGGAACATGAATAGGAAACTTGTTTTAAGCTGCATCTACTTAGCAAATGACATGTTTTCTTAGATTAATTTAGGTCAATAAAAATAGCAGAATCTTTTAAAACAGCTTCTCACCAAACTTTACATAGAATTGAGAAAAAATCAATTGTCTACATGAATAATACTAACAGAAATGGGGATGGCTTTGGTAGCCAATACCCTTGGTCCTAACCACTACATCCAAGAAACAAAGAGAGAATCCTTTGTAGCCTGTATAATGCTTGTCAGCTCCAAATCATACCTTCTACTTTACATTTTAACATCTTTGAAATCTGGATGTATCTTACAATCGATGATGCAATTATAATTGGTAGCTTCCTTTCTTTTTATTAGTACATAAAAATAAGGGTACATCCTACAAATGATGGCTTCTGAGATTAGATAAAATATCTTTTTATCAGCTCTGTGGTTCTCTCTGCCTGTGTATTACCAGGAGGAAGGAAGTGGAACATTTCAGGTGAGGCACAGGGTTTTGGCATCAATTCCTAAGATTCCTTTCATGGTTCAACACATGGTGTGCATTATCCTACAGCTCCTCCCTCTACCACACCCTCAGTCATTTGATGTGCCTCTTTATTTCTGCTCCTCTTGCCTACCAGCATGTGCCTAATTACTGAATCCTGCCCACCCAAATGTCAAGGGTTTACTAGAGATGACTGCTTCTCCTTCGCTCTTCTCAGCGCATGTGGATATGTGTGTTTGGAGGGGATTGGAAAAGCACAGTTTACCCATATGGGTAATGCACAAAACTGATACAGGGATCATGCTAGAGAGGAAAACCATGAAGAAAACTGACTTCCAGCCTGATAGCAGAAGGGCAGAACTTTCCGGGCTACTGGCTCTAAGGGCAACGCATGGATCTGCTGATTTAAAATAATAATAACAATAATGGCTTTGGGTTTCCTTGGGTTATCCTGCAACCCAAAGAAAGCAATGGGCAGGCATGTATACATGGAGTGCATTGGGTTGGCTCTGCTTCTTAGCGTGTTCTGCCATCAATTTAATTTTGATGACAGAACAAGCCCTTGGTCACAGGATAAAACCCGATGACAGTCGGGCCCACTGGAGTCCTTCTAGGACCCTGGAGGAGAACCGTCCTCTTTCTCTTTGGTTTGTTAATTTTAGGCTGCCTAAAGCCAGCCTCCCGCCTTGCAGAGAGCAAAAGCCCAAGTGAAGACCAGCATAGGCAGAGAGCTGGTAGAGCGGCCTGGATCCCTGCATCCTGTGAAGCATCACAGTTATCCTTCTCTGCACATGGGCCAGTGCATTCCTGTCCTGCTTAAACAAGCTTAAGTTGTTCCTTGGAATCAATACAATATAAGGTATTTTAAACCTCTACTTTAAACTATCCCTCTAGCTTAGCTGTTCTTTTTGAAAGTTATTTGCAACAGGCAATTCAAGATTGAGATTTGGGAGGGCAAAATGCCCATATTCTTTGTTGATTGAAAGGAGATTCCTGGGCTTTCAGTCCCTGCTTTGGTTGAGAAGTTGTCATGATAATTAAAGAGCCTGTGTAGATTCTCACTAGAGGGAGGGCTCTGCCTTGAGCTGGATCAGGGGTATCTACAGGCTGCTCTGGATTTATCCAAAGTCCTCATCAGGGTACCAGATGGGACATTCAGTGAAATTTGCACCATAAAGCCCTAAGAACCCCATGCTTGAAGATTCTGCAGGAAGTGTTACTATAGCCAGTCATTTTGGTTTGCCACAGCTGATAAGCGCTCATCTTTCTGACAGCACTTACCAACCTGGTTCCTCTGATTTATGAGTCTTTTCCTAGAAAAAGAGCTGAGCCTAAGGAACTGCAACTTGGAGGTTATATCCAATCTATCTGTGATGGCAGGAAAGCATGCATCTAGCTGATCTAAAAACTAAATGGCATTATTGAGGGGTTGGACAGGAGATCTTAGGAACAATCTCGTTTTATACTTTTTAAATATGGGAATTTACTAAAAGGCAACTTCCATCTGCTCTCTTTCCGGCAGAGGTATTGTGATAAAGGCTTTCAGGAATGTCAACAGCTCAGAATTGGCATTAGCTCATAGATAATTTCTGTCTACCAAATTAAAGTCTATGAGAGACTGATGCATGCACCAGAGTCTTGAATTATTAGGCAAGGGTCTTGCTAAAGCTGGTCATGGGAAGGTTGTTATGAAACTCATTTCAAAGGTTATGTAGGCCAACTCAGTTTATTATGCTTATTATTAAACCAGTGCAACTGCTCAAAAACTAAAACTCCATCACTGAGTTCCCCATCATAGTGTGTGAAATCATTTCCAGAAAACTTTTCAAAAGATACCGAATAAAAGCCACCACAGGCTGGGCAAGGTGGCTCACGCCTGTAATCCCAGCACTTTGGGAGGCTGAGGTGGGTAGATCACAAGATCAGGTGATTGAGACCAGCCTGGCAAATGTGGTGAAACCCCATTTCCACTAAAAAAAAAAAAAAAAAAAAAAAAAAAAAAAAAAAAAAAAAAATTAGCCGGGGCCTGGTGGTAATCCCAGGTAGTCAAGAGGCAGGAAAATCACTTGAATCCACAAGGCAGAGGTTGCAGTGAATGGAGATCTCAGCATTGCACTCCAGCCCCAGCAACAGAGTGAGACTCCGTAAAAAAAAAAAAAAAAAAAAAGCCATCACAGAAAGACATTTATTTCCTCATCAGGTCAGAAAATTTATTGCTGGCTTCAATCTCTCAAGAAGTCAGATGCTCTTCAGACACTTCTTTGTGTTTCTTTACAATGTAATCAAGCATTCCCGGATCAGCTATGAGACACACAGTCCACTGGCCTCCCTCGTGACCAATTTAATTGCAAAGGGTTAGCATACTATTTCTTCTCTGATATCAGAATTCTCAATTACGAAAACAAAAGCAATAATTAAAAAATTCTTGCCGGGCGCGGTGGCTCAAGCCTGTAATCCCAGCACTTTGGGAGACCGAGGCGGGTGGATCACGAGGTCAAGAGATCAAGACCATCCTGGTCAACATGGTGAAACCCCGTCTCTACTAAAAATACAAAAAAATTAGCTGGGCATGGTGGCACGTGCCTGTAATCCCAGCTACTCAGGAGGTTGAGGCAGGAGAATTGCTTGAACCCAGGAGGCGGAGGCTGCGGTGAGCCGAGATCGCGCCATTGCACTCCAGCCTGGGTAACAAGAGCGAAACTCCGTCTCCAAAAAAAAAAAAAAAAATAGCTGATTTTTTTTTTTTTTTTTGAGACGGAGTCTCACTCTGCCACCCAGGCTGTAGTGCAGTGGTGCAATCTCTGTTCACTGTAACCTCTACCTCCCAGGTTCAAGCAATTCTGCTGCCTACACCCCCAAGTAGCTGGGACTACAGGCACGTGCCACCACACCCGGCTAACTTTCGTACTTTTAGTAGAGACGGAGTTTCAACAAGTTGTCCAGGCTGGTCTCGAAATCCTGACCTCAAGTGATCCGCGAGCCTGGGCCTTCCAAAGTGTTGGGATTACAGGCGTGAGCCCCAGCGCCCGGTCCTAGGTGATTTTTTTTTTTTTTTTTTTTTTTTTTTTTTTTTTTAAGGGAGGCAGGAAAGAAGGCATCTGGGGGCTCTTATCTGGAATTTTCTTCCGTATAAACATATATGAAGGATCTGGAGTGAGACTTCGTGGCTTCAAGTCCTGACTCCATTTCTTGATGGCTGCATGACCTGGGTTAAGTCACGTAACCTCTCTAAAGCTCAGTTTATTCATCTGTAAAGGGTCAATAATAGTACGAGATTCGATGCTCGGGTGGAGCTCAAAGTGCAGTGTTGTCCGTGGTGAACCCATAACTTTTATACCTATCCATTGATGAAGCTAGGAGGTACAATTCCTACCTGGTTAACCAGACACATCCCACCTCTTCCCTCGAGTTCCCCCTTCCACCCCGCCTCGTGAAGACCTTGTTCTTTTAGCTATCTTGAAAACCCTTATGCACCAGCTTGGAGGAAAGAGCACGTCGGGTGGGGGAAGCCACCTCCTCGGCCCGAGCGTCCCCTTCGCGACCGCACCTGCGCCCAGGAGGACCACAGAGCCACGGGTGCGAGGCGAGGTCGCGATACGCACCCGCGCTCGGCCTTCGCGAAGGTGGTGGCCCGAGCGTCCGCCTTGCTGGCCCTGCAGGCGCGACCGTGCGTGCGCAGCCGAGGGTGGTGGCAGCCGGCACCCCACGCCAAGGGTAGTGGCGGCCAGCACCCCACCCTCTGCCGCCGCCTCCGCCAGTCAGGTGCCGTGAGAAGCACGGGAGGGGTGGCCGCGGGCAGCGCCCAGGGATATGACTGATGACTGAAGCCGACGTTCCAAAAACCGCGCACGCAAAGCCCAGCTCCGCACGCAAGGGGGAGGCGACAGCAGAAACTCTTCAACCCGAAAGTTCGCAGGCTCGCGGAGATTCGCCCCCTCCCGCCACTCTCCGCCCAGCTCCGGTCCCGCCCCGCTCGCTCCCCCAGCACCCCTCCCACCGAAGTCGCCACAGCTTGGCTCCCCGCCCAGCGCTAACGGCTTCCGTCGCAGCCTGGGCGGCCTCGCGCCCTCCAGCGGGAGGCGCCACCTGGAGTGGTCTCTACGCGGGAAACCGCGGCCAGCTGCGCCCCAGGAGCCTTTGTGTGCCCAAAGACTGTCGGGGCCCGGGGGCGGGGAAGCGGCTACTTTCAGGGATTCCTGATCGCGCCGCAAGAAATAGAAAAAAAAAACGTTGCACGCCAAAGAGCCTCCACTGAGGTGGGAATTTGTTTGCAAGAACCTAAGATAAAACGTAAACAACAACAAATCAGGCGCGCTGTGAGGCGAACCGATACCACCACACGAGCTTTCCGGGAAGCAAGCTCAAGTCGCGGAGAGGGAAGGGAGGTCGCGCGCTCCGGGCGGGGCGCGCTCCCACGTCTAGCGCAGCGGCAAGGGCAGGTTGTCCCGAGCGCGGTTCTGAGGCCACCGTGCGGCCTCGATTGGAGGTGGCTGTGATGAAGAGCGGTTACCACACAATGAAACGTGGGCACCTCCGCTCCCATGAAAGCCTCCGGGTAGAGCTCCGAGGCCGGCCGGTGCGCCCCGACGGCAGTCGGGTCAAAGTGGCTTAGAGTGCCGCGCGCCCCGCCCCCCGCAGGCCCCGCCTCGCCAGGTCGTGCTGCCCTCTACCCAGTACTTAAAACCCGGAGGCGCGGCGGGATGGCGCGCTTTGACTCCGGAGTGGAAGTAAGCACCTCTGCGACGCCAGCTGTGAGAGCCGCAAGGGCATGGGAATTGACGCCCCTCACCGATCCCCAGTCTTAATCCCAGCGCTGTGAGGAAACCCCTACTTTGCAAGTCCCCAAGTGCAGCCGGGCTCGGCGAGAGAAGCACCTTTCTCCGTCCACATCCCAATCCACTCGCTCCTGGCTCTGACGACGTCAAGGGACTCGAGTGGGGTTTAAAGCTCCCAGTGCGGGGAGCAGGTGTCCAGGGCGGGCCTGCGGGTTCCTGTTGACGTCTTGCCCTAGGCAAAGGTCTCAGCCCCTTCTCGGAGCCGGCTGTCCCGCGCCACTGGAAACTGCACCTTCCCGCAGGTCAGTCTCTCTGCGGAGCCGCTGCCCCGCGACCCCTTCAGATGGCTTCTTGCAGGTAGTGGGTGGAGTGGTAGGCACTTTAAACGAAATCAAGCGCCACCGCCTCGATGCCCGCGGCGATGTCCCCAAATTGCAGGAACCGTTACGCACCTGGCGGGGAGGGGAAGAGGTTGGCGCTGAGAGGTAGAAACACGCCCTTTCTCTTCTCCAAGGGTGACTGGGATGGGGATGGGAAGGGGCGTTTTTGGCCACTTCTCCAGAGAGTCCGCTCCGACCTCTTCACGCAATGGCATTCAGTCGCCCAAGGCTGGGGTAGATGCGTGGGGCGCCCGCTCCTCTCTCTGCACACCTGAGTGTCACGCCTTCTTCTCTCTGTCCCCAGCATGGCCACCAGCCTCAGCTCGAACGACCCTTGGCCGCTAAACCAGCTGTCCGTCCAGCAGACCACGCTCCTGCTACTGCTGTCGGTGCTAGCCGTTGTGCATGCGGGCCAGTGGCTGCTGAGGCAGAGGAGGCGGCCGCTCGGGTTCGCGCCCCCGGGGCCGTTCGCGTGGCCACTGATTGGAAATGCCGCGGCGATGGGCCAGGCGGTTCACCTCTCGTTTGCGCGCCTGGCGCGGCGCTATGGCGACGTCTTCCAGATCCGCCTGGGCAGCTGCCCCATAGTGGTTCTGAATGGCGAGCGCGCCATCCACCAGGCCCTGCTGCAGCAGGGCGCGGTCTTCGCCGACCGGCCGTCCTTTGCCTCCTTCCGCGTGGTGTCCGGCGGCCGCAGCATGGCTTTCGGCCACTACTCCGAGCACTGGAAGGTGCAGCGGCGCGCAGCCCACAGAACGATGCGCGCCTTCGCCACGCGCCAGCCGCGCAGCCGGCAAGTACTGGAGGGCCACGTGCTGAGCGAAGCGCGCGAGCTTGTGGCACTGCTGGTGCGCGGCAGCGCGGACGGCGCCTTTCTCGACCCGAGGCCGCTGACCGTCGTGGCCGTGGCCAACGTCATGAGCGCCGTGTGCTTCGGCTGCCGCTACAGCCACGACGACCCCGAGTTCCGTGAGCTGCTCAGCCACAACGAGGAGTTCGGGCGCACGGTGGGCGCGGGCAGCCTGGTGGATGTGATGCCCTGGCTGCAGCGCTTCCCCAACCCAGTGCGCACCGCTTTCCGGGAATTCCAGCAGCTCAACCGCAAGTTCAGCAACTTCGTCCTGGACAAGTTCTTGAGGCACCGCGAAAGCCTTCGGCCCGGGGCCGCCCCCCGCGACATGATGGACGCCTTCATACTCTCTGCGGAAAAGAAGGCGGCCGGGGACTCCGACGATGATGGCGCGCGGCTGGATTTGGCGGACGTACCGGCCACTGTCACTGACATCTTCGGCGCCAGCCAGGATACCCTGTCCACCGCGCTGCAGTGGCTGCTCCTCCTCTTCACCAGGTAAAGCCTCCGGGAGGTGTGGGGTCAGGTCTTTTCTTCTCTGAAAAAGGCGGAGTGGGATCAAAATGCTGAGTTCGCAAGTAGCGCGCGGGGTTTGAGGTTTCGCTCCAGGTCCCCACCCCTCAAAACCAAGATCGCACGTCGGGAAAGAGAAGGCCAGGAAAGAGAAGACACGCGCGCGCGCACCCCACCCAGCGACACCCTGACCTCTTGGAATCTCCGATCTTGTCTCTATCCTCCCTTCCCCTGCTTTCCAGTGAGAACACATTTGCAAGACCCCTCCACACCCCCGGAAAAAAAAAAGAGTTTTTAAGTGCCTGGAAATGAACCCTGATATCCCTCTCCCTGGAGCAGTAGAAGCAGAAATGGAATAGTCCCGAAAGAAAGGGTAATGCCGCAAATATGTTAAACACAGCAGCCTCTCGGCTAGTCCTCGGTGTGGATCCGAGGCCGTCCAGCCTGGGCGCTAAAAGTAGGCTGCTGCCCGTCAGGGCTTTGTTCCAGGCCAAGGAAGCCCACGGAGGCCGGGCCAGCCGACGAGTAACCCGCACAGGAGCTTTCGGAAGGCGGCCACAGCTAGCGGGCAGTGCTAGGTTTATAAAACATCTGCACTAGGAGTTTGAGAAATGCTGGGGTAGAAGACAAAAAGCAATCACTTTTACGAGTGCAGAGTAGCATCCAGAAAGGCAGATGGGATATCCGGGAGGCGCGTGCAGACCGCTCCGGCCCCTGCTCTGTTAGCCGACCCCCTGATGGCCCCCTTGGTCTCTATAAGCTCCGACCGACCGCACCGATTCAACAGGTCCTCGGTGTCGGGTTGCCAGATTTAGCAAAAGAAAAGTAAGTTTTACAGGGGAATACTTACACTAAAAAATTAACCCTTGTTGATCTGAAATCCATATTTAACTTGGCAGTCTGTATATACTCTGGAAACATTACCCCTAAGGGCAAATGTTTTGCAAGGCAAATCTTGATTGCCTAAGAGACCAGAAATCCTGATTGTGTCATTTCTTGGCGCACAAGTGAGGAATCGGAGATGCTAAATCTGCAGGCACCACGGTACGGTGTTTGTGAGAGAATGAGTCTTTTCTTATTACAATCCACTGTAATCTGTATTTCCTTAGGCATTGTACAAGCTACCTTCACAAATTTAGTTTCTGTATACTTAAAATGGCTTTTTAGTATTACAGTCATAGAAGCATCCATGGTGGGTGAGGGAGAGGCAGAAATTGAATAAAGAAAAGTCAACCAGAGATCAGGGAAAAGAAAATTCCACAATAGGATCCACAGGTTTTTTTGCGTCCCCACATAGGCATTTTATCTTTTGAAACAGGCTTTCTTTTTCATTAGAATCACAATAGTTCTCCGAGCGCTCTAATTAGGCGGCAAAAAGAAATAAAACCATTTGGGGGTCACTTTCAATTCAATATGATCATACTTTTTTTCTTTTTAGTGAAAAGACAGTATGACAGGGCTTGGCAAATTACACAGTCTGGTTTTGCATATGCATTTTGTTGAAGCAGTCATGCCCATTCATTTATACATTTTCTATGGCTGCATTCGCTCTGTAACCGAGGGCAGAGCGGAGTAGTGCAACAAAGAGGGTTCGGTCCACAAAGTCTAAAATATATACTGACTCTCCCCACCATACGTGTTTCTATGAAAAATGTTGGCAGACTCCTGCAATATGATATTGAGGAAGGAATTTTTAAAATAACTCTCCATTTCATCACATATGTGTATACTTTTTTTTTTGAGTTGCAAATAATCAGTTACATGTTTTTTGACTTCTGAATTAAGGTAGTGGACATTTCTAGTCTTTTAATATTTATTTTGGTAATTTTTGATGGCTACATAGTATTTTGCCATGATAATGTATAATTATATATCAGCACTTATTGAACTTTAACATTGGTCATTGGCCTTGATGGCTTTTTTTTTTTTTTTTTTTTTTTTGAGACGGAGTTTCACTCTTGTTACCCAGGCTGGAGTGCAATGGCGCCATCTCGGCTCATGCAACCTCTGCCTCCTGGGTTCAGGAAATTCTCCTGCCTCGGCCTCCTGAGTAGCTGGGATTACAGGCACGCACTGCCATACCCAGCTAATTTTTTGTATTTTTAGTGGAGATGGGGGTTTCACCATGTTGACCAGGATGGTATCGATCTCTTGACCGTGTGATCCACCTGCCTCGGCCTCCCAAAGTGCTGGGATTACAGACTTGAGTCATCGTGCCCGGCCCTTTGATGGCATTTTAAATATTTTATTTTTAATTTTAATTTTATGGATTTACTTACTTAGCAACAGGTTCTCACTACATTGCCCAGGCTGGTCCCAAACTCCTGGGCTCAAGTAATTCTGCTGCAGTCTGTCAGGTAGCAGGTAGCTGGGTCTACAAGGTGTGTACTACCATGCCTGACTAATTTTTGGAATTTTAGATCCTTTTGTGGTTATTTATTTTTATACCTCTTAAATTATTTTCTGAAAATACATTTCTGGGCATGGATTTCTGGGTTTAAAATGAGGCAGGAAGAGGTTACCTTTATGGCTCTTGACTTATACTAAGATTTTGTTTTTTTTTTTTAAATGATTGTACCAGTTTATATCATCAACAGTGAATAAGTATTACAGTTTGTACCATAATCTTATGAACATTGGGAATTGGCTTTTAAATTGAAAAAATACAGTATGTAGCTTTATCCGTCAGGACACCAATTATCTTTATATAAAATGAGAACAGCATGTCTGTTGGAATTGTCCAGGGAAATGAGGGAGAAAAATAATTTAACTTTCAGAGCCACATTTTAACTTTTGTGAGTCCTGGGTGCTTTTGCCTTTGTAGACCCCTTATACCATAAAAAAAAAGTTAAAAATTAAATTTTATGACTACCTTATATATAAAAATGAATACATTAAAATGATGTATGAAAATATTTTCTTCTACCTAAAAGTAAGTTTTTTTTTTAGGTCTGAAGATTGTAAAAGACTTATTTTCATGGGCCCCTAAAAACAGTTGTGGACTATGGGCACTGTCCCTGCAGTACCCAATGGAAAATTGGCCTTATCTAACTATTGTGCTTTTTTAGGCTGGGAAAACTTAGGAGTTTTTTTTGACTCATAATGGGAAAGAGAGTTTTAGCTATTCAAAGCCTATTACAGGAACTATAATTCCTAAAGTCCATCTTGTAACTTAGTGAGAAATTGGGAAGCTGTTTTAGATTTTTTTCCCCCAGAAATATTAATTTAGTCACTGAGCTAGATAGTCTGTTTAAGGAAAAGTGGAATTCAAATAAATTATAATGTGCTTTCTGGATGAAAGAAGAATTAATTTTGCTTACTTGCTTTTCTCCCTCCATGTTAAACACCAAACAGGTATCCTGATGTACAGGCTCGAGTGCAGGCAGAATTGGATCAGGTCGTGGGGAGGGACCGTCTGCCTTGCATGGACGACCAGCCCAACCTGCACTATGTCATGGCCTTCCTTTATGAAGCCATGCGCTTCTCCAGCTTTGTGCCTGTCACCATTCCTCATGCCACCGCGGCAAACACTTCGCTCTTGGGCTACCACATCCCCAAGGACACGGTGATTTTTGTCAACCAGTGGTCTGTGAATCATGACCCAGTGAAGTGGCCTAACCCAGAGAACTTTGATCCAGCTCGATTCTTGGACAAGGACGGCTTCATCAACAAGGACCTAACCAGCAGAGTGATGATTTTTTCAGTGGGCAAAAGGCGGTGCATCGGCGAAGAACTTTCTAAGATGCAGCTTTTTCTCTTCATCTCCATCTTGGCCCACCAGTGCAATTTCAGGGCCAACCCAAATGAGCCTGTGAAAATGAGTTTCAGTTACGGTCTGACCATTAAACCCAAGTCATTTAAAGTCAATGTCACTCTCAGAGAGTCCATGGAGATCCTTGATAGTGCTGTTCAAAAGTTACAAGCCGAGGAAATTTGCCAATAAGAAGCCACGGGCAAGCTGAAATTTTAGAGATACATCTTGGGAGATGAGGAGTGAAATTCAGTTTTTTTCTAGTTCCTCTTTGTGCTGCCTCTCAGTTAGCCTCTAAGGTGAGCATAAATCAGCTGCCCATCCAGGTGAGGTGTGCTCCATACCCAGTGGTTCTTCATGAGTAGTGGCCTGCGCAGGAGCTTCTGGGAGATTTTTTTGAGTCAAAGACTTACAGAGCCAAAGGAATTATTATACATATAATACATCTTGGTTATTTCTGAAGGTAATATTCTTTGGCGTTAAAACGCACACATAGACACACAAACCCAAAAACTTACACAAACTATTGAGTGAAGAATTATTTTGGTAACCACGCCATTTTTGGTGTGAATTCAAGATTAGTCTTCCATATGCAGAAATAGACAAAAAGTGTATTAAACAAAGTTTCAGAATATATTGTTGAAGAGACAGAGACAAGTAATTTCAGTGTAAGGTATATGATTGAAGGTGATAAGGGAAAATATAAAGACCAGAAATTCTATTCTCACCTTTTCAGGAAAATAACTTAGGTCTAGTATTTATGGGTGGATTTATCCTTTTGCATACTGGTATACTTCCTTACTTTTAAGGATAAATCATAAAGTCAGTTGCTCAAAAAGAAATCAGCAGTTGAATTAGTGAGTATAGTGGGGTTCCACGATTTATCATGAATTTTTAAGTACACATTGTTACATTGTAAAACTCTGAGCTGACACTGTACCTCTCTTGCTTGCCAAAGTACAGAATTTCAATTATGAGCAAAGAAAAAAAAAAAAAGATTACTAGCCCAGCCAAGCTTTAAATTATGTGACTGCAATGTACAGACTCCAGTAAGTCTCATAGGTTAAAAAAAGAAAAAAGTCACCAAATAGTATGTAATATATTACTTAATTGTCCATAAGCAGTATATTAATATTACCTTGTTCAGGAAAAGGTTGAATAACATATGTCTTGTATAACATTGCAAATTGAAAAGTACAACCCATGCAACCAAGTGTGCTAAAAATGAGCTTGAGTAAATCAACCACGTATTTTTGACATGAAAACTAAGTAGTCTCTTTTCTTCACACAAATTTTGGCAAATCTCAACATTATATCCTAAGATGTGTTCTTATTTTTATAAAGTCTTTATTGAAATTCTATTTATAATACAGAATCTCTATTTGAAAATGATCTAATTAATATGTTAAAATTCCAAATTCATGACACTTTTACATTTTAACTTAATTTTAAAGCTATTCTGATTATTAAGTTCCAGTTCAAGTTAGTGGAAATCTGACCATTATCCCATGGAAGGCAGAGAAATCTAAGATGTGTCTGCCCAATGAATAATGAAAAATATTATAAATTTTCTGGATGTCCTTTTTACGAGGTGACAAGAGTTGGGGATGGAACTCTCATTACAACTGACCAAGTGTCTCTTCTAGGTGTTTTTTTCTGAAAGTTAACATTAATGTCTTCTTTTTGGAAAGTCAGAATCAGAAGATACTCTTGGAAGCTGTTTGGAAAAGACAGTAGGGATAAGGTCAGTTGTGTTTTCTAAGATGGCAATTACTTTGGTAGCTGGGAAAGCATGAAGTGCAAATGAAATGTATGTGTTTGGTTTATGTAATAACCTGAAAACATTTAGAAAAGTGAAGTTTCAAGTTTTAAATTTCATTGCAATTAAACTTCCAAAGGAAGTTTTACAGTTTCCTAAGTGCTTATTACATTTTATTTAGCTTTTTGTAATCTCTGTACCAAAAATTTTAAAAAAGGGAGTTTATGATAGTTTTGTGCGTGTGTTGGGGGCATGGCAAGAGAAAAGAGAGAAAGGCTGAAAAGAAGGAAAGATGGTTAAACATTTTCCCACTCGTTCCAAATTAATTAATTTGGAGCACAAAATTCGAAGCATGAGCATTTAGGAAAAAGATATTTGGCGTAGCAGAGTTAAATCACAAATAGGCTGTTAAAAAAATCTACAACTTAGCAGATCTGTTTTGTGGTTTGGAATATTATAAAATTTCATGTAATTTTATTTTAAAATTTTGTAGCTGTAGTTCTTGAATATAAAAAATTGTGCCAGTATTTTTAAAAGTATCAAAATCAACTATTGAAATCAGATTTGCCCAATATATTTAAATGTTTTGGCACTTGCCATTCCAAAATATTATACCCCAGGAAGGCTGAGATAGTGAACTTGGGCTGTTGTAGCCTGTGTTTTTTTAGATTGAGAAATGTGTAACAGCAAAAATCAGTACCAATCTGGATGCCTCATTACATAAACCAGGTCCAGATGTGCTATAATCTGTTTTTATGTATGTAGGCTCAGTCATCATCTGATGCTTGCAGCAAAGGGAAAGCTGAGTTTATATAGAAGAAAGTAAGGTGCTTGGGGGTTACCTGGCTTATTTAATATGTTTATACCCTAGTTAAAGAAAGGAAAAGAAGACAAAAAACGAATAAAAATAACTGAATTTGGAGGCTGCAGTAATCGGATTACTGCTTTAATCAGAAGGCCTTGTTGTATTTCTACCAGAGACAGAATGTATTTGCTGATGACCGTTAAAGTCAGAAGTTTCACTCCAGGTTATTGCAATGAAGTATAATGTTTATTAAATGCCTGATTTGTATGTCAAAGCTTTGACTTTGTAAGAAAATTGCTTTTTCCAAAACAAAAAGATGTCTCAGGTTTATCTTCTGAATTTGCTAAAAGCTTTCATGTCCCAGAACTTAGCCTTTACCTGTGAAGTATTACTACAGCCCTAATATTTTCATAGTAGATCTATATTAGATCAAATAGTTGCATAGCAGCATATATTAATTTGTGTGTTTTCAGCTGTGATACAAGTGTGTGATAAAAAGGTATACTTGTTTATAACTCAAGGATACCTTCTTATTTAACCTTTTCTTATTTTTGTACTTTATCATGAATGCTTTTAGTATGTACGTAATAACTACAATACGTAATTGTAACCAAAATACATTCTGGTAACACATTTATATGTAACTTTTACTGTTTGCTATATCAAATGAAAAAAAAATTGTATTGCATTACTTATACTGGGACACCATTACCACAATAATAAAAACCACTTTCATAATCTTGTTATGAAGTTTTGTTTTATCCTGGAGCAAATATAGTCTAATGCATCACTTTATTTCAACTATTACTATAGATTATTCCATTAAAACATTCTTTTTATTTGTCCAATCTACATTTCAGGCTAAGGCCACATGCTTTTTTTTTCCCTGTAGGTTTTCACCAACCAAATCTCTAATCTCCGTATTTTTGAATTTGTAAGAACCAACAGAGAAGTCAAATTTCAATGCAAACAATCAAGCCAAATGAGAATTTGCAATGTTGAAAGATTGAATAGATTGCAACTTTAAGTTGCTGATCAATTTCTGCTTCGTCTAAAGAATGCAGTACACATTTTTCCTCCTCAGCTGCACACCAGTCCTTTCTCTGAGTATTTTCTTCTATCATTTTTTAAAGGGATATGTGCCTTAATAGGTACAATTAATGTCCAAGATGGGTACAAGTATTCTGTCATGTACTATGTGGAAATATTTTATTGCCGATCTTTTTACTTGGTAAAAAGGGCCTAAGTCATGAGTCCAGGCCTTCACTCCCTTGCACTCACAGATGACAGGGCTGTGCGGTACAAAAGGCTCCTTATCTTCCAGACTACAGCTCCTATTACTGTGAAAACAGGAAATGCAATAGAAATTGCACACAATGGCATTGATACTTTGGCTTGGGAACTTCACTTTAGCAGCCAGAAGGTATGGCTATGGAGTGGTTTAAGAGAATATTCGCTAGTTTTCCATATGGATAACAGTAGGATCTTGGAAATGTCAGGACAGTTCAGAATAAGTGAAGGAAATATCTTCACGGGAAAAAGATTCCTTTAAATAATTAAAATTGGGGCCAGTTTTTGCAAAACAGTCCAGCAGAATTGGATTCTACCCAATCAATCCAATAGAGTACAAGAATGGAGTACAGGGTGGGAAATGAATGCAGCTTTGGACATAAGTAAGACAGGCGTGGTTGTTGGAAACTTACAGAGGTTGTTTCTTCAACCTCAAAGCCAGTCTATTTTTCTGCAGAAGTGCAGCAGAAGTTAACTGGCTGTTAACTTTCCCTTTTTGGCTCAGTAACTCTCACATGCTCTCTGCTCTCCAGTTTCAGTCTATTAACTAATAAATCTCAGAAAAAGAAAAGGAAAGAAGAAAAAAAGATTAAATATATTCAAATACATTCTAAAGCATTATTTTTAACCTGAAATTGTGAAGGAAAATAATCTAGTTTACATAGATATGGACACGCTATAGGTAATAGCTCATGCTTGTAGCCCCTCTGCTCAGCTACATATAGGCTTTGAGGATGAATGCCGTGTTCTTCACGCACACTTTTCAACATGTGTCAGGTATGCAGGGAAGAAATGGAACTAAAATGTGTTGAGCAGTTACAATTTTTGCATCACTGTGCTAAACTCTCTGATGCACTATTGCACAGCAGTCTTCTGAGGGATGTGATAAAGTAATGGACCAAAATTATATATTTAGAAGTATTCTCATCCAGATTTTCCCTGGAGATGAACTAAATCAAAGCCCGTTGTCTTTGTGCTCCAGTTTGTCCTTTCCTAATGTGCCTGTGCTTGGATTTACAGGATAGTACATCTTTTTTTTTTTTTTTAGGCTATAAGATCCTGGGAGTTTCGCCAGCAATTTACTTGCTTTGTCTAAGGCACATTCCACCACACTGCAGTCGGAGTAACTGACATTGTGCGAGAGTCCTCATCACACTAGAGATGAGCCCCTTTAAACTGTCCCTTAAGCAAAGCCCAAAACCAACCAAATGGTCATACTTTGTCTTATAATCCTAAAACTTCTGTCCTGGAACCTGTCTAGACCAAGGATCCTTGCTGGAGCCAGGGCCATCCATAGGCTGGTCCAGTTTCCTGGGACATGGCCTGTCTGTCTGATAGCAGCACATCACACTAGGTGTTGGTGCAGGTGGCTCGTCAGAACCCTTCTCTCTCTCAGAGCCTGTGAGCGCTGGCCAGAGTGAGAGACAAGAACCAAGGCATGAAAAAGGCCTTTTGATGGGACATTTGCCTTTTCAAACAGAATTGACTGGACCTACCAAAACTAGTTTTGAATCACTTGAGGCCCCTTAGGTGGGACAATGTTATACAGCAGAAGCCTATTAGGTCTAAGATCCTTTTGGGTCAGAGCTAAGAGTCACTGAGCAAGCCTGAAAAATCAGCCTGCCTCTTTTTTTTTTTTTTTTTTTGATTTATTTCTATTTCTTTACGTTTGTTTCTCTCTCTCTCAATGGATAAGTATTACAGTGTGCTTAATGTGCACTTTTTGTTTTCATGTTCCAGCAACATTTGTAATATTGTTTTGCATATAAATGTTTTGATTTATGTAAGTGTTGTACATATCTCATCCTGTTGCTTAATCTTTTCTCAGCATAATATTTTTAAGTTCCATCCGTGTGTAATTCCATAGCTCCTAACTGCTGCCTAGTATTCCGTGGTACTCATCCACCACATTTTCTCTATCCACTCTGTTGGGAATAGATGCCTGGATAACTTCAAACTTCATGAGGATCCTTTATGAGAACTGCATGTTCTACAGAGAGGTGGAAGGGTTCTGACGAGCCACTTGCACCAACACCTAGTGTGATGTGCCTCTGTCAGACAGACAGGCCATGTCCCAGGAAACTGGACCAGCCTATGGATGGCCCTGGCTCCAACAAGGATCCCTAAATGATGGAGCAAGGAGCAGCTTGGTATGTGTTTCCTTGCACACATGTAAACTTTGTAATGTATGCCATACCCATGATTAGAAGTGTTGGGTCAGCAAGTGAGTGTGTGTGTAATTTAAATATTGTATGTTCTCCAGAATGCCAAATCTGTCCACCCTCCTATCAGCTGTGCATGAGGGGAAGCTGTACCCACTTCCCCACCAACACATGGGATGGTCTCTTTATTTTATTTTATTTTATTTTTTTGAGATGGAGTTTTCCTCTTGTTACCCAGACTGGAGTGCAATGGCGCAATCTCGGCTCACTGTAACCTCTGCCTCCCAGGTTCAAGCGATTCTCCTGCCTCAGCCTCCTAAGTAGCTGGGATTACAGGCATGCGCCACCACGCCCATCTAATTTTGTATTTTTAGTAGAGATGGGGTTTCTCCATGTTGGTCAGGCTGGTCTTGAACTCCTGACCTCAGGTGATCTGCTGGCCTCAGCCTCCCAAAGTGTTGGGATTACAGGTGTGAGCCACCGCGTCTGGCCATGACCTCTTTATTTTTAAATAAAATATGTTCTCTTGGGAGAGAGGTGCATTACATAGAATTTTTTTTTAATGAGGAAAAAGACATCTACACTAATTTTTCAGTACTTTCCATAGCCATGCTTGTGTTTACATCGTATCTCCTCTATTAGATTGTATATTCATCGAAAAGCAGGGACTAAGTCCCAGCAATTTCGTTATGGAACTATACTGTATATACAGAAGCATGGGTGAAAAAACTGGAGTGAGCTCTGTCGAGCCTGCTTCTCAGCACTGATGATCTCTTCACCTGCCCCTGAGTCAGTTTTCAATTGGTACCCTTGAAGTCTAATCTCAGTTTCTTTTCCTTGCTTGTAAATTGAGCTTATTCAAGGTTTTTAGGTTTCTGCTTAGTCACTATGAAGAATGCAGAAACATCAACTCAATAGCTTTCAAGTTTTTTAAACCATAACCTCACAGGATGAAATATATTTTACATGCTTTAGTACATATCTATGCATGTGACTGTGTGTATTTCATACATATATATACACATACACATACACAAACAGGATTCACTATTGTTTTCTGTGATATAACTTATTTTTAACTTTTTTTCATAAAAATGCAGCACAATGAAATATTACTACAAACCTATCATAGTGTGTAAATTTTTTAAGAAATGACAAAACTGATAGTATATATCAAGTACTGGGGAGGATGTGAACCTACTAGAACTTTCATCCATTGCTTGTTGGAGTGCAAAATCCTACAGTATGATGCCACTCCTGGATATTTATCTTAGAGAAATGAAAACACGTTCACACAAAAGCTATACATGAATGTGTACAGCAGCTGCATTCATCATGACCTCAAATGGTAAACAACCTGAATTTCCTTCCAATTAGTTCAAAGAGTTATACAAAATCTGCTACATCTACCCAAAGGAATACTACTCAGCAACAACAACAAAAAAATGAACCACTGATATACACAACAACTTGAATGGGTCTCAAGGGAATTATGTTGAGTGAAAGAAGTCAGCCTCAAAAGGTTGCACACTGCACAGTTCCATTGCTACGGCAGCCTGTGAGAGACAAAAGCGTCATGATGGAGAGTAGCTCAGTGGTTGTTGAGGGTTGGGGGAGGGAGGGTACGACTACAAAGGGATAACCTGCTGGGGTTTTGGGGGTTTTCTTATTGTGGCAGTGGTTACATGGATGTATACGTATGTTAAAAGTCACACAACTACACCAAAAAGTGATGAAAAGTGGTTGAAAAAAATGTTAAAGGGGAGTTGGTGCAAATGAGCGTAAGTGAAGCTGAACTGAAGTTGGCAGTAGCACGGAAGCTGCTGGCAGACAAGGAAACGCGATGGCAACAGTGAACAAAGAAGGTCAAGCCCAGATGTGTGAACAAGGATCATGGCCTGTGCTGAAGTCCTTGCAGGGGGGGTGAGGGTGGTGCCTGATTCTCAGGGCAGAACAGGAAGCAGAACATCAGCCTTTGGAATGAGCAAGAGTTGGAACCTCCCAGCTGAGGCAATTTTAATTCAATGCCGTAAGTTTTCATTGATCACCTATTAGTTGGCAGACACTATTGGGGCACCGATGATATAATAATGAACAAGGCACCCAGGCCCTGACCTCATGGAGCTGATATTCTAGCGAGATGGGTGTGGGAGGAGAGAAAATAAGGTTTCACTTGACTGTAAGTACTGTAGAGACAAAACAGAGTGGTGTGTGTGTGTGGTTGTGTGTGTGTGTACTGTGTGTGAGGGGTACTGTTTAGAATGTGTAGACTGAGTAGTCAGGGAA